CTTACCTACAGCGCCTGGCACTTAGTAGGTCAGTAAGCATTCATTCTCTTCCTGCCCGGGCTTTGCCATTGCCACTCCTGAGGAGAAATTAGGAAAATCTGTACCCCTCTCCGCTTCTCACTTCCTAATGAGACTGCTAGTTCAAAGCTGGGGAGCAGCAGAGACCAGGGCCTGGACCATTCCCACAGGCCTGAGCTGACCCTGACCGAAGGAAAGCTGGCCACGGTGAAAACGAACAGCTCCCTTCATGCAAAGAGAGAGAGCAGGGGCCAATGGGTAAGGAGAGGATGGTCAGTGGATCCAGGCCTTGGGGACAGGGAAAGATGGACCGGCTGGGAGTTCTCTCCTCCTCTCCTCTCCCTGTCCTCCTCTTGCCTCTACCTCTCATCTGCCCCCTCTCTCTCCCACCTACCTCTGCCTTTGCTGGGCTCTCCATGCTATGCCCAGGTGGCCTCTAAGTAAATGGAGAGTATGTGGAAGAACTGTGACAGTGATGACAGGATGACCCGGGCTCCATCCGAGGTCTGTGGGAGAAACCCCAAGGGATGGCCCATCCCCCTGCAGTAAGTGAGCACTCTAGAACCAGGATCATCTCCTATAAGGGATAGGGTTGAACATTCACTCACCCTTTCTATACATATTTAGTGAGTGTCAACTTTGTGCCAGGCTCTGTGTGGGATGCTTTATATACATGTGATTACTTAATCTTCCCCCAGCTCTGTGCATTCGGTATCATCAGCCCTGTCTGCCAATGAGGACCTAGCCCAGGGTCACACAAATGCATGTGGCGGAGCCAAGACTTCAACCCATATTAGACTGCTCCCAAAGGCTCTGCATTCCCTGGCCTCTTGCCCATACCATCCTGCCTGTTAGGAAGTCAGTTAGTCTAATTTGTGCAGCAGCCAATCCAGAATTGGGTGCCTGAACAAACCCGATTGAACCAACTGATCAGGTCAAGGGGCCTCGGAGAGCCCCAGCACCCAAAGTTCTGCTGATTTCCACCCTGACTCCAAGCATGGGCCCGGCTGATAAGGAAGGTAGAGCTACCTCAGGTCTCTGGGGCAGCTGCTGCAGGAGCTGAGGTCAGACTGTCTGGTTTCCTGCCCCAGGAGGAGGTAGGAATGTTGCCAGGATCATAACCTGAGTGAGAGCTCAGGAGCTCAGACCCTTGGCTACCTCACCTGCATCTCTGTCCCTCACACCCTCACACTCATGGCTCCATTCTCCTTGCTGTCCCTGGGGCATCGATGAGGACATTCGCAGGCTAGGAGGACAGATTGCATCCACAGAAGGGAAGCCCCAGGATGAGTCTCTTGGGTCCTATAGTCTGTGGCTGAGACACCCTACTACTAGGAGAAAATGACGTGGTGTGTTGTACCTAGAGATGTGTCCACTTGTGTCCAATGCCCAAAACAATAAGCAAGTGATCTGATCGGGGAAATAGTATATAAAATACAATTAATCTGATTCTGTGCTTGTCGGGCACCCAAACTATGGAGCCAAGATTGAGGTACTTCCCAGGAAGGTAACTCTACATTGAGGTATATACCATCCCTGAAACAAAAAGGAAGATGAGGGAAGAGCCACAACGGTGTTCAGGTAAAAGGGACTCTCATTCAGACCTGCCATTGTGGACTGAACACTGGGTGTTTTTCTTATAACACTTCCAAACCTCACAACCCTGCAAAAGACGTATTGCTATGCTCACTTGAGAGCGCAGGCAACAAGGCCCAGAGAGATTGTATGTCTTCCCTGAGATTGCACAACTAGAGAGTGGGGGAGGCAGGAGGCCAGCCCTGCCTGACTTCAAACTTGTGACCTTAACTTCTACAACACAATGCTTTCTATCGGTCACTCTGTCTTACACAGAAGCTGCAGGGGGAAAAGTATATGGCAACTTATACAGACCAGTAGTTCACAGTCCACCAGAGCAGCAACAGGTCTTGGGCAGTTCACTGCATTTTCCACAGAAGTGTCTCTGCTCCTTCCATCCTTGCTGTCGTCAAATGATTGATTGCTTGGTTTATGTGCCCCTGAACTTACAAGTATCCAATAAGGTATAACATTGTCTCAAGGGGCCAGTTCTGTGTCCTCCAATTAATAAATCCAAATTAACTTAATTACAAATCCTATAATAAACCCAAACCAAACAGGGTGGAAATATGGCTCTAGTCTAGAGCCATATTCTGTGGCTTTATTATTGTCAGAAGTTCCCCAAATCCTAAAACTATATAGCATGAGAAGCCTAAGGCAGAGAGGCAAGGAAAAGCTTCTTATGCAAGAGAGCTTTTATGCTATAGTGAGAGAGGTAAAGAGGAGAGTTTCTTTCCCTGAAAATGAGAAAGATACCTCCAGCCTAAATGAGCCAGAGGCAAGAGACTGGGCAGGACCACTCTAGCTGGTAGCAACAGCTAGAAGCTGATCCCTGCCCCACCCCCACAGCTCCTGCTATTGTCCTCCTTGCCCCTTCCCCATCTGGCAATCGTTCCAGGCCTTGTCAAAATGGATGAGCAGCTGACAGGGGTGTGGAGCAGGGCCAGGCGGGTATGTTTGCTCAGGACTTTCTGAATGAGAAAGGCAAGCCTCACATTCAGCCCTGAGATTACCGGAATCCCAAGGTCTTTCACTCTCAGCCCCAAACCTGGCCCCGTCTGGGCCCTCACCAGTTCGGTCACTGGCCTCAGCAATGCCACTGAGCCTGAGTCACTCTGTGGGAAGCCAGAGCCAACTTGCATATCAGAGACTGCAGAGAAGGCCTACTCATCATTTTGGGAAGGAACCAGTAAGGTCAACATGAGGTCACCTCCTTAGAATCAGGAGTAAGGGGGTCTGTGCACAGGGACCCCCTTCCCCAGGGGTAGAGAGCAGCCCTTCCTGGTCATCCCAAGCGGGGGTTACCCAACGTGTTTTTCAGCAAAACCATTCTTATCCTCAAAACCACATGCCCAGCCCCACTTGTAAAACAGATAAATCACTGACTGGGGCCCAGCAGGGACCCGAGAGCCTTCTCACCTGCTGGCCTCCCCAGGAGCCCCTGAGAGCACCCTCTGGGGTTCTTTATTGTGTTGAAGTGTAGTTCCTTCTATACTTAATTTGTTAACAGCTTTTATCATGAATGAATGTTGAATTTTATCAAATGTTTTTCTGCCTCTATTGAGATGATCATATATGCTTTATCTTTCATTTCATTAATGTAATGTATCACATTTATTGATTCGTGTTTGTTGAATCAACTTTGCATTCCAAGGATAAATCCCACTTCATCGTGGTGTATGATCCTTTTAACATGTTGCTGAATGTGGTTTGCTAGTATTTTGTCAAGAATTCTTGCATCTATATTCGTCAGGGATACTGACCCATAGTTTTTTCTTATACCGTCTTTACCTGGGTTTATTATCAGGGTAACATTAGCTTCATAAAATGAGTTTGGGAGTTTTCCCTTCTTTTTGATTTTTCTGGAAATATGAGTAGAATTAGTGTTAATTCTTTAAATGTTTAGTAAAATTCACCAGTGAGGCCATCTGGTCCTGGGCTTTTCTTTGTTGGGAGATTTTTTTATTACTGATCTTATCTCCTTGTTAGTAATAGGTCTGTTCAGGTTTTCTCTTTCTTCCTGATTCAGTCTTCGTAGGTTGTGTGTTTCTAGGAATTTATCCATTTCTTCTAGGTTGCCGAGTTTGTTGGCACACACTTGTTCATTGTAGCTTCTTGTGATCCTTTGTATTTCTGTGGTGTCGGAGGTAAGATTTCCTCTTTCCCTTATAATATTATTGATTTGGGTCCTCTCTCTTTTTTTCTTGGTTCCTCTAGCTAAAGACTGTCAATTTTGTTTATCTTTTCAAAGAACCAGCTGTTAGTTTTGTTAATCTTTTCTATTGTTTTTCTATTCTCTACTTAATTTATTTCTGTTCTAATCTTTATTATTTCCTTCCTTCTGCTAAATTTGGACTTTGTTCCTCTTTGTGTAGTTCCTTGAGGGGTAAAGTTAGGTTCTGTCTTTGAGATCTTTCTATTGTCTTGATGTATGCGTGTATAACTATACACATCCCTCCTAGAATTGCTTTTGCCGCATCTCATAAGTTTTGGTGTGTGTATTTTCATTTGTCTCAAGAAACTCTTACTTTCCTTTTAATTTTTTTCTGATACACTTGTTGTTCAACAGAGCATTATTTAATTTCCATGCATTCGTGAATTTTCTGGTTTCCCTCCTATTATTGATTTCTAATTTTGTACTATCGTGGTCAGCAAAGATACATGGTATGATGTCAATCTTCTTAAATTTGCTAAGACTTGTTTTGTGGCATAATATATGATCTATCCTAGAAAATGTTCCATGTTCCCTTGAGAAGATTGTGTATTCTGCTGTTGACAGAAAAGTGTGAATTTTTATGGATGACTGGATGAGAAGGCTGAGAGAGAAATCAGACTCCAGGAGGATGAGCTGGGAAACCAGAACACCAGGAGAAGGAAAGCAAAAGGAAGCAATGCTTATTGAGACCCTCATAAGCCAGATGCTTCACACATGTTCTCATCACACCCTGCTTTTGCAAAGGAGGAAACTGGCACTTAGATGTTAAGTATCTAGCTCAAGGTCATACTGCTAGTAAGTGGCAAAGCTGGGATTTAAACCCAAGTCTGCCTAGTTCTGAAGCCCAAGATCTCTCCTGAACAATCATGCTGCCTGGCCCACAGAGTTATTGGAGGGCTTAATACCATTAGGGGATGGGCTAGGTGATAGGCAGCTGTCCAGTACCTAGTACTTGGATTTTGCTTTGAGCAACTTACATATTCCTTGCACCCACCCCCCAGCCTTTTATGAGCTCTTCAAGAAAGAGTATGAGCTGAGTCCAAGATTAGTGATAATATTGAGCTAATGTGTTTTCAGCATTATGATTAGAGTATAGTGCGTTTGTAGTTGTTGCTGCCTCAACCATCAGGGAGTTAATCAGTTGACAATTTCCATTCCCCAGGCAGGGCAGATGGAGCCACAGACAGCTAGCTGCAGTCACCATTTATTGAGACACATCACAGGCACAAACAGTGGAGGGGGCTGTGGGTAGATTCAGGGTGTGGGTGGGGCTGGTGGGAGACTGGTGAGGTTGAAGGGCATTTGGGGACCACTCCTGGCTTCCCTTCCTCCTCCCCTAGCCTGCCCTGAGGTCAAACCAGAGGTGTGGGAAGCCAAGATGGCCTGGGAAATCCAACCTCTTCTCAGTGGTCAAATGGTCACCCCAAATCCCCCAAACACATCACTCAAGCTGGTAGCCTTAACTTCCCCTCCCATCCCCATCACAGAACCAAGGAGAAAGCTGGGTGGAGTTGAGCCCTTCCCAAACTGCAGATTGCATGCAAAGAGTCTGGCATGCAAATACACCAGATCTGTGGTCCTGGGGCTATTCTTGCTCCCTGGGTGGGGAAGGCAGCAGAGGTGGGTAAGTGGGGTGGGGAAAGGACTACAAGGGCCGCAGCTTGCAAGGCTCAGCAGCTAGTACCTCCGGCTGGATGTCTTGACTGTGGTGGTCTTCCGTAAGATGGAGGTGCCCCCAGAAACGGGCCCACCCTTGACAGTGCCATAGCCCACATTGGTGCTAAAGCCACCCTTACTGGCACCCCCACTCCCACCCAGGGATATGCCACCCCCAAAGCCAGCTGCGCCGCCTCCGCTCACAGTGGTAGAGTTGCCAGTCACCGCTGCAAAGCAAAGAATGTGGATATGACCAGGAAGCCATGCTGAGAGAGGGCGGGGGAGTCTCAGAATCAGTGAGGGGCAGGAACAAAATCAGGCAGTGGAGCCATAGAAAATGGATGGAGAGGTCGGGATAGAAAGCTCATTCTCTGGGGACCCTCTGAACCTCTTTCCAGGGCCTCAAATGGAGGGAATGTGTGCTTTTGGCCAAGGGCAAATTGAGTGGACTGAGCAGAGGACAGGGTCCCAGCCCGGGGCAGGGCAGCAAAATACTCACAAATGCTGACAGCACTGGGGCATTCTCCAGACATCCTGGGGGAAACAGAAAGGCCAGGAAAGGGGTCAGTGGTTCCAGGAGCCTGAGCAAAAACTCTCTCCCTCTCTCTGCCTTTACAGTGGATCAATTCACTTGGCCAGCTCTTGAGAACCAAGACCAGGAGATGCGAGAAGAATGCACTGTGGCCACACCGGGCCTGGGGGCCCTTCCAGCCAGAGCAGAGCCCTGGCAGGCCACACCACCCCACCCTCCCTTTTGTCCTCACACAGGCTGTGGGCAGCACCCCTGCTGAGGGAGGGAAACAAAGCTCATGCCAAAACAGAGTTGCCCAGTTTCTAGCTAAGTCGACTTTCTCTACATCTCATGCTTTCCCCAAGGGCAGAAGATGATGAATCTGGCGTTGGAAGAAGCAGCCTCATTCCCCTTGGCCTACCAACCACCATGAGGATTACCGAGGGTTGTGCCAACCAAGGAGATGCACAGCAGAGGCAGTAAACACAGGTGGAGAGTCTCCCTCAGGCTCGGGGTTAGGAGCCCAGTTCCCTGATTCCTTCCTTACCCCCCTGCCCCCGACACCAGAGCCAACTACACAGACTCTCCCCCAGGGCAGAGGTGGGAAGCCCTTGAAATCAGGCAGGAGGGCCCCCCACCTGCTCTCCTCGCTCTCCAGCAGCTTCCTGTAGGTAGCGATCTCCACGTCCAAGGCCAACTTGACATTCATCAGGGCCTGGTAATCACGCAGCAGCCGGGCCAAGTCCTCCTTGGCCTGGAGCAGGGCTGCATCCAGGTCCCCAAGTTTCTTCTGAGCATCCTTTAATGCCAAATTCCCACGCTGCTCTGCATCTTCAATGGCAGCCTGTAGCTGCTGGCACTGCCCGGGGGATAAGAGGTGTTGAGAATACCCTCCAAGGTGCACCTACCTCTCTGCCCTTAAGCCAGGCATCACCATCCCCTACCTGCCCCTACCACAACCAACTGGGAGAGAAGGAAATCAGAAATATTCATCTGAAAGAGGAAATGTTATTATACAAGAAGGATCATGTAGCACCAGTGGGGAAGTCCTTACTGAAGTCTAATCTTAGTCCCTGTTGCTGCAGCTCAGCCTAGTCCCTTGAAAGAAATAAAACAAGTAATACAACCTCACCAATAACCAGCGCTTCACTCTGATCTGGGGATGAGTCCACACTTTTCAGCCATACCCTAGATGGAGTCAGCAGCTATGACTTAGACCCTTGGACCCTTATCCTCTGCTCTGGTCTCCTAGAAATGGGATCAATCTCCTTAGAGGAGGTCATCCCCCATGTTCTATCACTAATATGTTATGTGACCTTGGACAATCCCTTCCTTTCTCTGGGCTCAGTTTCTTCTCCTGTAAAAGGCGCATGATGATCTTGATGGTCCAGCTCTTGAGTGCGTCCTATCCACCAGGAGAAGAGCAGATATCACCCCTTAGAATGACAGCGAGAGGCCTCACTGCCCATCTCCACCAACACCTGGGCCTCTAACCAGAGGTTCACCTGCTTCTTGGCTGCATCCACCTCACCCTGCAGCCTCTGAACAGTGCGGGTGAGTTCAGCAATCTCATTCTTGGTGTCACGCAGATTGTCCCCATGCTTCCCAGCTGTCACCTGCAGCTCCTCATACTAGAAACCAAAAAAGTGGCAGTGAGTTGTCATATAGTTCCAGACCCACAAGGGTAACCACTGGCCCCCAAGCTCACCCTCACAGATGGAGGTCCCTATGTAAGCTCAGTGTGTTCGGCCCCAGGCCTGTAAGCAGCCCAGTGGCCCAGGCTTCTCACAGTTGGGAAAGGTCCTGTCCCAGCTCACATACCCAAGCCAGTCATTCTCCTCACCTTGGTCTGGTACCAGGCCTCAGCCTCAGCCCTACTCCTCTGGGCAATCAGCTCATACTGGGCCTTGACTTCGGCAATGATGCTGTCCAGATCAAGACTGCGGTTATTGTCCATGGAAAGGATGACATTAGTGTCAGACACGTGAGTCTGCACTTGGCTCAGCTCCTGCAGAAACAGAAATAGCTGCCACCGGGCCCTCAGAAGCAGCCAAAGGATGAAAGACAGAGGTTCAGGTGACATTAGGAGGCCTATGCCCTTCTCCAGGCTATACCCTGGAAGGAGCTGCAACTGCAAGAGAGACCTCAGTCTCTTCAGCTGTGAAATGGGTTCCCACTTTAATAAATAGCATTTCTTTGTGGATTTGCAGACCTCCAAAAGATTAAAGGAAAGGAAAGGGAATGTGTACTTACTGTACTCAATCTGGTGCCAGACCCCAAGCCAGAACACTCACTAGTTCCTTTCATCACAGAACACCTTCTGAGGCAGGCAGGGCCACAAGTGGCCCACAGGGTGCATTTGTGCAAATTGGGAAAATGTTCCCCTCTGGGCAGGTTCTCCCATACCAGCACCTGGGAAGCTGAGCATGAGCCTGATTCAAACCACACTATCCACTCAGCCAGTTTACAACCTGTACCACCATTTGTAGTGGTCCTTACTGTAAGGAAAAAGACTTGGAGAAGAGAAGTGACACATCCAACTTCACCAGATCCAAGGTCATCCAGTCTGAGTGGGGTCCAGACTAGAACCAGTCACTTCAATGACAAAGCCCAAGTGGTTTCCTCTAGAATACAGTCATTTATAGACCAGAGTGATGTTCTTGGACCCTCCCTGTATTTTGAGGACTAACAGCAGTCACACATAAACAGGCATTCAAAGACAACATGAAGGGCAGGTTTGGCTCCTGTGTTCTGGCTTTGAGACCAGCTTTATCACTAGGTCATCACTGCATTGACTCCCGGGTGGGCTGCCTGTCTCTCCCTTGCTCCTCCCTGCTCCAAACTCCAGCTCTGATCAAATCACTCATCCACTCAGTGCTCCTGAGTGACTCCCAATGGGGAGAGCATCTTCCCTCCAAAAATCAACACCTTCCAACATACTCTGGTGTTGTCTCCATCTTTTCTCACACATTGGCCCTTCCTTGCAGCCAATGGGATTATAATAGACAAAGACAGAATAATAATGGCTCTCATTTAATAAACAATTCCTCTTGTTGCACCTGAGTTAGATGCTTGACAAGCACTGATTCATTTCTGATAGCACAAAGAGCAACTTGCCCCAAATCACAAACTAATAAGAGAGAAGCTCAGTCTCAAACCTAGGGAGTCTGCCACCAGAGCTGAGATGACATGCAGTAAAGTAGAGATAGACAGAAATAAAGAGAGAACTATCCAAGCTAAAACTGATATCCATACTGACATAGATTTAGAATGTTAAAAATACCTTTTAAAAGATGGAATGGATTGGGAGGATGGGGACAGAAATCCATTCACTAAAATGTTTATGGTTTTAGTGAAAAGACACGAGCTCCGGAGAGAGATAAAATTAAGTCAAGTCCCCAGCCTAACATTCACTAGCTATGTGACCAGGGCTGTAGCTAAGCCTCGCGAAGCCTCAGTCCACTCCTCTGTAAAATGGACATGATACAATGCCTTCCTCGTGCAACTGCTGCAAGGATTCAGACCCATAATGGCTCATGGTAAGTGCTCAGTAAAATGCATTATTTGCCCAGCGTTCTCTGAAGGTCACTCAAGATGCCCACAAGGCATGTTTACCACAGATGACATCACCTTGTCACAGTTGTCTTCCTCCCCATGATGACAACACTGCTGGCATCGTTTGCAGGATCACCCCTCACCCTCCCCAACTCAGGGGCCCTCTACAGTCCCATGCCAGAGTGTGGTCCTAAGGAAAATCAACTTAGAATTTTTAAGACAAGGAGACAAAAACTATCCACCCAGTACCACCAAGAGTGGATGAGGATGGTCTTGTTAGAACCAGGGGACAGAGAGATCAGGTTTTCTAAAGAAACAGAGCCAATGCAAGTGAAGAGGAAAGAGCTTAAAGGCCCGTGCATCTTTAGACACCAGGGATGCTGAAGGGAAGAGCGGGTGGGGAGTATCTGAGCAACATGAAGCTGTAGTGATGGCACTGGAACAGGAACTGGATCCTGCAGGGTCCCCCCAGGCCAGAGGAAGGCCAAGAGGCTCCTTTCCTGCCCTATAAAACATGCCAGGAATTGCTGGTTGGACCTCCAGATTTCCTTAAGATCTGGCTTAACCAAAACCAAACTGTGAAATCCATCACCAAGTGCTACAATGACAAATGCAGTTAATTCACCCACAAGGCAGAAAGGGAACAATAAAGAAGTAAAGATAAGCAATGAAGAACTTCGATAGGAAGTGACCCTGGCTTGGTCCCTAGCTCACCTTCCCTATTCACCTCTTCACCTTAATCTCCAACACACTCAGTGTCTGACCCACCTGCTGTCCCTCAAACACACTGTGCCCTTTGGTTGGGGCCCTGGCTGGCAGCTCCCCTGCTCCTCCTTTAGAAGTCCCACCTTTCCTTCAAAATCTAACTCAAATGCCATCTCCTGAAACTCCCCAAGTCCCCCGACCCAGGAAGTGTCAGCCACAGCTTACTCCATGCACCATGTCCCTGTCACTGTGATGACTCTCATCACATGGTAACCCAGGCCTGTCAAAGACAGGGATTTTGTCCTTCTGTTGTCCTATGGGAGATATTCAGTAAATATGTGTCAAATGGACAAGGAACAGCAAAGGAAAGAATGCTAGGTATGCCTTATGTGTGCCTTAGTGAGCAGGAAAGCCAATGGCTACACATTCAGAGAAGAGGGGGTTAGGAACCATTGACCTGAAGGACATAAGAACCTGAGAGAGGAAATGAGGAAGTCCTAAACAGTGAATGACCATCAGTGAACCAGTAAGGAAGAAACTGGGGAGGCACCTATGAAATCAGCATGAAGCCACAGAATACCCCCAACAAGCTCCATCCAGACCAGTCACATAGAGACATTGAACAGAGAACAACATGGCCAAAGATGAGCCAGGGAAATGCTACAGCCAGTGGACAGGTGCTGTTAGCTCTAGGTGAGAATGACAAGAAAGGCAGAAGGAAGGTCCAAAGCCAACAACTCAACAGCTGTGCTATTTGTTCTTTTCTGTCAACAGGAACAGCCATCAAGCAGGAAAAGGCAGGATGGTATAGAAGAAATGGAAACCAAAATGGATGCAGAGAGTATGAGGGGCCTTGGCCTTGTTGGGGATTGCAAGGGTCCAGGCCAGAGGAGGGTATCCTAGGAGGCCAGGGAGATTGCTAAGAGGGTGAGTATACCAGTGATCCTTGAGAACTATGGAGAGTAAGACAGATTCCAGAAACCAGAACCCCAGACACAGCAAATGTCCTCATATTCAAAGATGAGAAATTTTGACTTCTCCAAGTTAAACTTGATGTCCATCTCTTATGAACCTCTGGTATGAATTATAAAATGTCTGTGAGAGGCTGGGCACCAGCAATACTTCCCTAAGGAAAAGTCACATCAAATGGATTTTCTCCCCATGGTTGTATCACCAAGTAGCTAAAGGACTGCCATGGACATTGTTTCACCCAGCCTTTTTTTTTTGGGGGGGGGGGGAGGAAGGGGGGAGAGGCATATTTTTTTCTCTCTCTTTGAAAATGCTTTTTTTTCTGGTATTCTTAAAAATAAGACAGAAAAATATGGGCCAAATGATGATGTGGTTAACTGGATTTTAAAGTAGCTGGGCCATTTAAACCACAAATTACTGATTAGTGGAGTGAGGTCAGCCTGGTGGGAAAGCACCCTGAAGACCTAGTCCTTGGACTAGGACTCCGTTCTCACCTGTCTGCCTTAATGTGTTTATCAATGATTTACACTGAAACATTACTAGATAACTAAACTGAAAATTTATCGAGTCTGCAGATAACCCAAAGCTGATGCATCACTAATATATCCAATTATGCAATTGGGCAGCTCCAATATATGGAGAGAAGAATCCAATTTCAAAGTGCCCACAGTGACCTATACAATGGGATGAAACCTCAGTAATGTTTCACTAGAAGAGGGGGAATCGTTAGCTCTTCAATTCAGTTTCAAAAATTCAACCTCCTAAATACAGGAAGTTGGAGGACAGTGGACGCCTGTCTCACTTGAAAGCACTCATGTGAAAAAATCCAGGGGGATTTTAAGGAACAAACTTGGTGAAATGGGTCCTAAAAACAACAGGAAACTAGGGCAATATTAGGCTACATGAAGAGAAGTCCGTACCTGTGACTTCCCTCCCCACCCCTCTGTTTTCTGAATTCTGGACTCACAACCCAGTTTCATAAACTGCTTCACACAACACAGATTTCAGTCCCCTAACCATCCTGACCTCTAAAGTGTTGTCCTATGAAAGACGTAGGTCACATGGAAGGTCACTGGATACGTGCAGCCCAGAGGGCAGAATCGGGGTCAATCGAGAGCAGAAGCCATGGGAAGAAGAGTCAAGTCAAACTTTCTAATAAATTTGTTCAACAATGGAAATACCTGCCTCCCCCCAAAGAATAGAAGTGTTCAAGTAGGCTTTACATGACTTGCCCATGGTGGAGATTAGAGAAAGGGTTTGGAACTGAGTGGAAACTGACCCTGAGGTGCCTACCTATTTATAGAGTCTAAGTCTCTAGGACCAATTCATGTTAAGTTCAACCTTCTTACTCAGGTCTTCGGAGCCCCTTTGTCTCCTGAGACCCCCGCCCCCAGATTCTTTGATCTGCCCACTACCCACACCTCACCTCCTGCTCCAGCCTGGAATCTCAGTCCCCATCTCGGTTCTGCCCACCTGTGCCCCTCCATCCCTTGCTCCATTACAAACTGGGCAAAAGGGGGAACACAATGGAACACAGTCGCAAGTGTCAGAGTTTGAGGTTCAAGAATGAGATTTTACCTCCAGCACTGCCTTTAACTACCTATGTGACCATGAGCAAACTGCTCTCAGCCTCAGTGTCCCTGACTACACAATGGAGACAATAGTACTTACATTATGGAGTGGCCGAGAGCTTAGCCCAGTGCCTGGCCTATTTAAGCACTTAACTTAATTTGTACTTAATGGAAGCTACTACTAAATTAAAGGTCCAGGTTTATCTTCTATCAAATCATTGTACTGGTGAATACAGATTAGAGCTCTGTGGGAATGCCACAAGTCAGGACCCTCCCCACTGGCCATCTCACCATTTCATAGAGATGATTCAGGAAGTCGAGTTCCTCTGCCAAGGTGCCCACTTTGCCATGCAGATCCGTTCGGCCCATGTACGCAGCATCCACATCCTGGGAGTGAGGAAAAGAGCAGGGCAGGTGGCTCAGCCCCCAGGGCTCTCATCCCTCTCAGAGCCAGCCCAGCACTCCAGCAGCCACAGGACCACCTGCCCCCACTTCCTGTCACCCTGCTCACCTTCTTGAGCACCACAAACTCGTTCTCGGCGGCAGTGCGCTTGTTGATTTCATCTTCGTACCTGTCACACAGGGAAGATTGAGGCCAGGCTCAGTCAAGTTCTGTCTTCTAAGGCACTGGACCCTCTTGGCTTTAAGGGAGCCCTGAGGGGTCCTATATTGGCCAAGAACATTTTTGAGAAGCAGTGCTGTAATGCAGCCAACCAGTGAAGAAACTCGGGGTGCAGTCTTTAAATATTCCTCCCTGCCTTTTTTGAGAAAACGGGCACAGAGTTGTGCAATACTCTGGCAGTCAAGAGCAGCCATCTCTTTGGATCAGAGCCCTTAGAGGCTTCACAGGAACAGGTGGAGATGCGTCAACAGTGGTTAACCTTTGCCTCCACTTTCAACAACAGGATGGCATTTCAAACAACTAACTTCTCTCCAGTGGCTTCTGCTGAGACTTGAAGGTTTAGAAATTGCTCACATCAAGTTGCTGGAAAAGTTATGAAAAATTATGCCTTCAAATTAAAACACATTTATCAACCAATGATAATATATGAACTGTATTTGGATCTTGATTCAACAAATTGGATTTCTTCAGTTTATTACACTAATTGGACCATTGGAAACTCCAAACTGACTATTTGATGATACTGAGGAGTTACAGCTTTAAAAATTTTAAGTGTGATTATGGTAGTGTGTTTATGTTTGCTAAGTCAAGTTATGCAGATGAACTATATGGACATATCCAGTAAAATTCCTGTTAATTAAATTATGTGATGGCTGGGGTTTGCTTCAAGACAGTAAAGGAAGAGGGAAAGTGAGTGGGGATACGGACGAAACAAGTTGGCTATGTGATCATTATCAGAGCTGGGTAATGGGAACATGTAAGTTCCCTACACTGTTCTCTCCACCTCACAAGAAAGAGTTTTCAAAATTATTGACGAGTGTGATGGGTCCAGTGCCTGAGTACCTGAGGGAGCAGCTCTGTGCATGCCCCAGGTGGGTCCCAGGACCCTGCAAATGAGATGGCCCTCTCTGGGGAGATTTCCACAGTGCCTCCTCCACCCTGTCCCCACATAGCCCCAGCCTGCCCAGCCCTCCTCACTTGTTCTTGAAGTCTTCGACAAGGTCCTGCATGTTCCTCAGCTCCGAGTCCAGCCTCCCTCGTTCGCCCTGGAGGTTGTCCAGCTGCCTGCGCAGGCTGCCCGTGTAGGTCTCAAACAGGGGCTCCAGGTTGTTCCTGGTGGTGCCCGAGTTCTGGCCCTGCTCCTGCAGCAGCGCCCACTTGGTCTCCAACACCTTGTTCTGCTGCTCCAGGAAACGCACCTGAGCCAGAGCAAGAAGGGTGGTGGGCTGGCACCACCCCCTCCCCCAGGAGGCACCGAGAATGGGGCCCATCGCCACCATCCGTCCATGACCAGCACGTCACAGGGGCAGTGCAGGCCTGCGCCTTGCTGAAGAGAGGAATTCCTGAGGGAACAGTCTTTGCTGGAAAAGACAGTCTCATCTGATGACAAGGACTCTAAAGAGTTAATAAACATAAAAGCTTCAGTTTAGTCATTTACTAGTTAGTGATGGTCAAGTCTCTCTGGGTTTCCCTTTCTCATTTGTCCCAAGTAAACTGGACTAGATCAGTGTTTCTGAACCCTAATTCTACATCAAAGTCAACTGTTTGTAGATGCATATATGTGTGTGTGTATATAATATATATACAACTACATATGTATATATTTGTGCTTATATGCATACACACACACAAAGAGAAGACAAAGGTGACAAAATATTTAAAACTGATGAATCTAGGTGAGAGTACATGGACATATACTGTACTGTTCTTGCAACTTTTCTGAAAATATGACTTTTTGAAGCTTTTTTAAAGGCTGATGCCCAGCCCTATCTCTAAAGACTCACAAGGGGGCTCATGGCAAGGGTTGAGCAGGCCGCTGGGGTTCTCTGCCCAGCCAGGGTTCCCAGACGCCAGTCCCAGGCAGCTTTTCAGACCCCCAGCTCCCGGCCATGATTCTGAGAGCCTGAGAGAGGTTTTTGCTTGTTTAACCTCTGGGGCAGTCCCACGGAAGAACCAGAAGTCACTAGGAGAGAAGGTGAGGAGGGTGGGTGGGATGGCTTGCTTCACCCTTTGCTAGCCAGGCTCTCCAGTTCCCACGCCCACAGCACCCCGGGCCCACAGCCACGTGGCCCGGGGGCACCACGCAGCAGCTGCACCTGCCATGAGCCATAACGAACCCTCTTAGTGCCAACCACCATGAGGTCCATGACCCAGGGTCCAGGCCCGCCCCTGCCTCCAAGTATCTGTATGATCCTGGGCAAATCACATGATTTCTCTAAACCCAGTTTTCTCTTCTTAAAAAATAGGCATAATGTTACCTATTGTCACTCCTCATGGGACACTGTGAGTATCACATGAGAAAGAGGACATGAATGTCCTTTGGGAACCCACAAATCACTGAACCAAGGTCCAGTCATCCGCCAGGATTTCCCCCATCATGGTCCTGGAGGCTCAAGGTGGAGATAGATGAAGCCACTGAAACGGCCCTGGGACTGCCAGGGAACAGTACACGAGCCTCCCCAGTCCTCCTCGTGGTACCAGAGAGGGAGTCGAGACACTCCCAACCTGGGACGGATCAAACTCCAGCCCCCAGGTCATGGTGACCCGGTGACCATCCTTCTCACTGTCCACCCCAAACTGAGCTTCTTGGCTGGAACAGCAAGAAGGAATAGGAGAATGAAAAAAGAGACTTCCTCTAGGACAACCCCTTCCCCATTATGTCTGATCATAGCTTTGTCCTGAGGCTGCCACCAAGACTGAGAGGAGAGGGAATTACCCAAGCAGGGCTCCCTGGGTAATTTGGCACTTGAGCCCACTTCCCAGCTGTCAAGTGATAAAAGGCAGTAAGGGTCGCCCTGCTAAGAGCAGCAATGAGGACAATCTGCTATGTAATTGTGAGATAAGGCTGCTGGGTAATGACGTTAATGATGACCACAGGCAAGGCTGCAGCATGGTCTGGGCGGGCTTGGCCGATAGGCCCCATAAATAGGCCCAGGATTCACCTGAGCAGTTACAGCAAAGGCCTGAAGATTGTCTCCAGCCATCCACACCTGGGCATCCCAGGCTTAGGCCAGCAGAGCTCCAAAGTCATCCCATCAACCCCCACCCAAAAGGTCACATGGGCTACAACAACCTCTACCCGGCCCACCCCCTCTTATAGGCCCTGCTTCCATTCCAGGGCCCCTCCCTGCCTGCTTCCACCTAGGCCCACCTTGTCGATGAAGGAGGCAAACTTGTTGTTGAGGGTCTTGATCTGCTCCCGCTCCTGGGTGCGCACCCGCTGGATCTCTGGGTCGATCTCCACATTGAGAGGGGTCAGCAGGCTCTGGTTGACAGTAACCTCCTGGATGCCTCCAGGGGGACAGACAGGCCCGAATGTCTGCCTTCCAGCCCCCAGGCCCATGTAGGCCCCGCTGCCATGGCCGAAGCTTCCTAGGGCCCGCCCTGAGCAGGCCCCTCCAGCCACACTGACAGAGATGCTCTTGCTGCCCCCTAAGTTATAGAGGCTCCGGCTGCCAAAGCTGCCCATGCGGGGGCCACAGCGTGCCGCACCACTACTGCCACTGCTCCGGGACATCGTCACAGAGCTGAAGCTGGTGTGGGCCCTGGACCCACCCCCTCCACTGGCGGAGTTGGAGCTGAAGCCCCCTTTGGTGGAGTACATCTGCCGAGACACAGAGGACCTCATGGCTGTCAGAGGGGCTGGCACACAGGCTAAGAGCTGGGAGGGAGCACAGTAGGCTGCTGGGCCCCTAATGGGCTTTTTATCGTTTCCCAACTGGGCTGGCTCCCCACCTCCACAGACACTCCTGCTCCATTGCCTGGAGGAAAGGGAGGGAGGGGCCCTGTGGGCTGGGGGGCGTGGAGAGTCCCTTCTTCCCCAGCAGGAGGGAGAGGCTGCTCCCAGTTATCACCTGTGCTCCAGAACTGAGGCTGAGCTGAGACTGTCTGGGGCAGGAGTCTCCTCCCTGGGGCTCTCCTGCCTTGGAACAGGATGATACGGGCTCCCACAGCCACCTCCACCACCAGTGGCTGGATTGGTCTCCTCCCACCCAGCCCTGGTAGCCGCCATCAATTGGGGCTCTGTTCTGCATGTTTGTCCCAGGCCCCTATTGTAAGCCAAGGCCCCAGGGCCTGGGCTGTGCAGGTGGTGAGGGAGGGAGCATTGGGCAATGTGCTGTGGGGAGAGTGCCCAGGCCTGCCGCAGTCGTAGCTCCCAGCCCACAGCCTCATTGCCCCCTGACAGGTCTGGGTGGGGGGCACAGACGACAGAGTGGGGGTGGGGGCAATCTTTTTGTCACACACTGGCAGGTTGTCTGATGGGTGGAGATTCTCGCTGGGCAAAGTGGGTGCAAGGACAGAAAGGTGCCTGAGCACTGGATGAGGAAATAGAAAGGCCTGGGCTCCTCAGACAGTGCCCAGGAGCCAGGAAGGTGGTGGGGGAGGGCTTGGTAAAACACACTGTTCTGGGAGCTAAAGAGAAACAGGGAGCTTCAACCATCACCTGAGACCCCCGACCCTCTGCCTCCTAGCAGAGCCTCCCCAGAAGGGCCCAGCCACTTTGGAGGGGGCTGGAGATGGGTGGAGGACATGTCCCATCCTGGCTGGACATAGATACAGGTCCAAGAAGCATGTATTCAACAAAAGCGCCACTCGGCCCATGGCGCATCCCAACGTTCCCTCTTCCAAGTCCATAGGGGGACCCCTGCTTGATTCAGTGGGAGCCAGGGGTGGTCCTCAAATCACTTAGCACAACCACCTTCTCGCCCAAACCACCTCAGGCTACTGGTACTAAACAAAGGAAGACGGAAATGTTATTTAATGTTAGGACCAAGGGAGTGCTGAGGAGGTGACTTTAGAGGTTGTTCCTCCTCACCCACTTCAGCTTTCAGGAGAAAAAAAGGGACCCGGGAAGAGAGAGACCTGCCTGAGGGAAGGCATGGAGGTAGCACTGGCTGTGCTCCTCACAGAGCAGCCAGAGCTAGAGCTGGGCCTGTCACCAGCTAGTGTTTCCAAGACCCCAAAGGAGAGGACATGGGGCCACCTGCACAGCCCAAGGGAGGCCGGCAGAGAATGGGCCCCCTTCAAACCCAGAGGAGGCTGTAGGATTCCTTCCTAAGGCCACTTGGGAGGCTGTAAGTGGCTCCTAGTTTCAAGAAATTGAACATACTCCCATGAGGCATAGAGTGAGGGACACTCACAGAATTGTCCCTAATGCCCAAGAGGGAATTTTCCTCCCTGCTTAGAGCTAGATCCCAGGCATTTGGAGAGAGGATTTGGGGGATGAATCCTCACTGAGCTGTGTGTTTTCTGGAGACTCTCAACCTCTCTGGGCCTCCTTGGCTCCGCCTACAAGCAGGGCCTGCCAGGGAAGTCCTGTCCAAAATCACCTGCCTGCCTGTGCAGGACTGAGCTGTCAATGCCCTAACCTTGGTCTCCTGCCCCCGGGCTGTTATCACTTTCTCAGCCTCCCTTATCTCTCCCCAGTGGGGGGTGTGGGAGGGAAAGACAGTTGTGAGTGGGGCCCCCTCCCTGGGGAAAGGGGTGATGTCAACCGTCTGAGTCAAGAGCAGCCAAGCTGGTGGGAGTGGAGTGGGCTGCAGATACACACTCCACCCCTCCCGCAGACTGACAGACACACATATTTACCTGGCGCTCTGTGCCAGGCTTTGTGGCTGGGAGCTGACGACAGACACACAGACAACCTGGGCCACTCTCACAGTGACTTCCTACAGACAGCCTCCCTCCCACCCTGGCAGGACATCTCCCCAGTCCCAGCCCGGACAGAGTGTGGGAGCCATGGTGCTCCCCCTACCCTGGCTCTCCACTCGACTTTCTCGCTGGACACCCAAGCTCAGGCCTTCTTTCTGCAGCCCAAGAAGGAACAGCTTCCTCCCCACTGCTGCTTCTCAGTCCAAGGGCCTCCATCTCTGGAGATTGCCATCTGCCCTAAGCTCTTCCTGCAACAGGACAAGAGGCGATGGAATGATGGATGAAGTGAGACAATTGAGAACCCAACACGGGCCAGCCCAGGTGCTGAGCAATAGAACGGATGCAGGGGTGAAGAAAACAGTCGCTGCCCTGGAGGAGCCCCATGCGGGGCAAGGACTTTCTGACCTAACAACCATGATTTTCATAGCCAGCACTTACTAAGGGCAGACTGGGGCCCATACACTTTCCAGGCAATAACACCTTTAGTCTCCACTCTGGCATGATCCCTTCGCCTCCTTCCCATTCCAGATCTGTTCACCAACCTTCCTGTCCCTGATAGACTACTCCCTTGTTCTCCGGCTTCCAGCTGGGGTGGCAAAGGGAGACCCCAACAGGAATCTGGCAGGAAGAAGGCTGGCATTCCTTTCCACTCCTTCTCTGCTTCAGCGCTGGCTGCCTCCTCCTTCCCAGTGATCTCCTCCACAGTCCCCCAACTCTATCACCTGGTCACTCCATTTCTTCCTCCTGTGTCTCCAGCTCTACACAGGGTGTCTGCCTGGTCCTGATTTCCCCAGGAGTCCCAGTTTGGCACTGAAAGTCCTCCATCTCAGAAAACCCCTTGACCTGGACAAATAAGTCGGCAGCCTCCCCATCTCTGGGGGGCCATGGTTTCCCGGTGCCGCCAGCCTCTGGCCTCTGCACCCCATGTTTGTTCTTTTAGCCATGCCCACACCTCTCCAAATAACCCTTTCGTTAAAGTCCATTTTACTGAACTATCTTGAGTGAATTTGTTTCGTTCTGGGATCCGGAATGGTACCATCCCGTGTAGCCCTGCTAGTATTATTATCAGTGTATTTTCACATGTGTGGAAACCAAAGCACAAAGAGAGATTAAGTAACTTGGTAAAAGTCACACCATGAGTAAATCTCGGGGCTGAGATTCTAGCCCAGGAATTCTAGCTCCAGAGCCCTGTGCTCACCTACTCATGTGTCTTACAGAGGGCTGACAAGCCTCCTTCTTGGATACTTTTGATGGAGAGACCCATGGGTCTGAGGAAAAGGCTGACCTCCCCCTAAAGCAGGGGAATGATGTGACCTCCTGCAGCCCAGGTCATGGAGTCTGGAGGTGACCCAAGTGGAGACGGAGAAGAGCAGAGGAGCAGTGCAAGAACCAGAGTAACTGCAGGGCCAGCACCTGGCCCTGATGCCCACTCTCCTGGCTTCCTGCAAAAGAGGGAAGGAAGAGAAGTGTCCGGTCTCACGTTCAGACAGGCCCATGGCTGGGACAGAGCCAAGGGATAAGGGGGGTGGGGCATACTACAGTCCCAAATACCCATCAGAGTCACCGTCACAAGCTGAGCTACTGATCCCTGTCTTCGGAGCAGGAGAAGAACCTGCCCAAAGGCCCCAGACTAAGAGAGAAACTGGATCCTAGACCAGAGCAGACAGAAACAGAGCCCAGGACAGCAATGGGTGCAGACAGGCTGTGCTGGGGACAGACACAGGGAATTGGGAAGGTTTCCAGGGAGAACAAAATCTGGTTCAGACTTGGGAAGAAGCAGGAGCAAGGATGACAGGGGCTGTCCTGAGTCAGAAATAGAGCCTATTCTGGGTGATTAACCAGGGAACATGCTAGAAGAGATGCTAACACATCCATGGAAATGGAGGAGATAGAGGGCACGCCAGGAAGTATACTGGGAGGTTGGAAGAAAGCCCTTGATAAGCTGATTATGGTGAGAAGTGAGATGCCCATTGGATATAACCCGAACAGCCCTAACTATTCTACAGATTGTCTTCTATGGGGATTGGGCTGGGCAGTGGCACACCTTCTGTTTTGCTGGGTGAGGTGTGCAAGCCTGAGGGCTGAGCTGAATTACTGGAAGGAGTGGCAGAGACGCTGCTTGTGGTCACAGGGAACCTTTGTCCTTGCCCTGCAGCATCTCCTCAAAATGCCCTTGGAACACATATTTAAGGTGATTGCTCAGCATCAGTGCTGAATTATCAACCTGACTAGAACATCCTTGTCTGGGAGAACAACCAGATTAAAGCTCAGAGATAAAAGGTGGGGGTGAGGTGACAAGACCCAGCCTTGACACCCTCGACAGAGCTGGAGCTGGGGCATCAGGAGGAGGGGACTATAAGACAGGACAAGACACAAAGGGGCCTCACCTCTCAACCCAGGGTGTCTGAATTAGCCATAGGAGGCTGGCCTCTGGCCCTAGAGGCCAAGGGCTTTGAGAAAGAAGATCTGGTCCTCATGAGAGGGAGGTGTTATGCTGGAGAAACCAGAAGCAGAGACATTAAACCCATTAGGATGACAGGAAGGGTTTGGTCTTGCTTGCCAGAGTAGCCCCCTCCTGAAACAGTGCCTCAAGTGTGGTTTGCACTCAATACAATTTGTGGGAGGGAGGAAATGGGGAGAGAAAGAGAGGAAGACTCATCCCCATGGAGAATTGGGGGCTACTTCATTTCACAGGAGAGGTATAGAAATGGAGGCCCAGAGGCAGGTGAATAGGATGAGGGTGAGACCCCTTGGTGCTAGCCTCCAGGCTCTGGCCAGTGGGCCTCAGACCTCTCCCCTCCCCACAAAGGATGATACTTGGGATGGGATGAAGTCTGATGGGGCTCAACCCAGAGTCTTCCCAGCTCAGCTAGCAGGTAGGCCAGAAGAGGAGAGAAGAGGATGAGGCTGGCTAGCTGGGGGATGTGGCACTGTGCACCTTGGCTTGGGGCAAGCAGTGGCCTCCCAAATTAGACAAATCAGTACGCAGAGCAAGACCAGACTAGACGAGCACTCAGAAGAGCAGGTAGGCATGACTTTATTGACTTTTACAGCATCCCATGTGGGTAGTGGACACAGAAATGGACACGCAGGGATGGGGGTAAGGGGTGGGGCCAGGGCTGAACGAGTTCAGGAAGGCAGTGGAGCAGGTGGTCGCCATGGCATTCAGTATGTGACAGATGTCTTGAGACTTGACTCAACTGTTTTCTTCAGGATGGTGTGGCAGCTAGAGCCCGAGCCAGAGCCAGACACAGAGCAAGAGCCCATAACAGGGCCCTGCCCTGAGCCCAGGACCACGCTGGAGCCTCCAGTCACGACGCTGAAGCAGCTGGACCCAAAAGTGCCTTTTCCACCTCCAAGTCCACAAGCGCTATCACAAGCTCCTCCAGGCAGGATGGCGCTGCCTCCCCCCATGGCTGCCAAGAAATACACCAGGGTCACAGCAGGGTCCTTGGGTCCCCATGGGGACCCTTCTCCCAAAATCCCCTGATACTCACAGATAGTGACCTGGCTGGTACATTCCCCAGACATCCTAGAGGAGAAAAGACAAGAGGAGGAACTGCTGAAAAAGACTGCAAGAATGCATCCTGGTGCCTCTTGGAGCAGCTCACCTACCCTCTTAACAGATAAAATCCATGCTCTGCAATTTAAAACTCCTCCTAGCAGAATGGGTTGCCCTCAATGGCTTAGAATGTCAGGAAATCTCTCAGAACTCCCCTTAACAAGGAAAGCTCTGTGTTGGCATTCTACCCTCCACCACCCTACCCTCTGGGCACGTATTCCTAGGTCCTCTGACTGGCCCCACCTGCACTCCTCGCCCTCCAGCAGCCTGCGGTAGGTGGCGATCTCCACATCCAGGGCCAGCTTTGTGCTCATCAGCTCCTGATAGTCACGCAACAGCTGGGCCATATGCTGCTTGGTGGTTCTCAGAGCGGCCTCCAGTTCAGCCAGCTTGGTCTGAGCATCTTTAAGAGCCAGCTCCCCACGCTGCTCAGCATCTGCCACATTGGCCTCCAGGTTGGCATTCTGGGATGGGTGCAGAAATGAGCAAGAAAGTGGCTGCAAGCACAACATAGCCTCCCAAAGTACCTACTGTGGATAAAACCTGAAGGCTGGGGTGCACCATAATCACATGAGGTCAAAGTGTTCCCTGGCCATTCCCAGTGGCTCTCATTCTCAGGGAAAGTATTGCCTCTTCTGCTTCCTTAACTCCCATAATGAATTGAGTAATGCCCCCCAAAATGTCATGTACTCCTAGAACTTCAGAATATGCTCTTATCTGGAAACAGGGGGAGAGGGGGTGTTGCAGATGTAATTAATTAAGGATCTCAAGATGATATCACATTGTATTTAAGGTGAGTCCTAAATCTAATGACTGGTGTCCCTAGAAAAAGATGAGAGAACATAGACAGACAGAGAGAGAAGGCACCACATTCAGCCAGATTGGAATGATGCAGAAACAAAACAAAAAATGCCAAGGAATTGCCGGAGCCACCAGAAGCCAGGAAGAGGCGAGGAAGGGTTCCCAGCTCCCTCCTTCAGAGGAAGTGTGGCCCTGCTGACACCTGATTCAGACATCTACCCTCCAGTCTGAGAGAATAAATTTCTGTTGTTTCAAGCCACCAAGTCCAGGGTGCATTGCTACAGCAGCCACAAGGAACTAATCCCCCCCTCTTCCACCTCAAGTAATCTCCTATGTCTCCCTACTCCAGCCCTCAACACTGCACTGGAACCCCTCCCAGGTCACTTAATGTTCTTCCTGTCCTCTTTAGTTCATCATCTACACGTCTCATCTTGAGAGCCACCACGGTCCTTAGATTTTTTAGAACAGTCTCATTTCAAATATTTTGTCCTGTTTTCAGAGTTTATCAAACCATGTGCCTCCATCTTTGCTTTGAAAAATCTACTCTGCCCTTACCTCTCCAGTCCCACAGAAAACTCAGAGATGAAGAGCGAGATCCCTGTCTGATTGGCCGTCCAGCTGACTGACCCTCATGTTTGATTTGGAAAAGAAGGCATTCCCTAAAGGTTCTCATTATTCTATTCCCACATAAGCACCCTGTGGCTGGGGAACATCATCTCCATTCTACAGATGAGGAAACTGAGTCTCAGAAAGGCAAAGCTGGGACCCGGTCTAACCCAAGACAGCTGATGTCCAGTTCACCACCCTCACTGTGATCCACAGAGCTCTGCCCGGGGCCTGGCACAGGGGAGCCCAGTTCAACAGGCTTGTGCATGAAGAGGAGGATTAATGGGGGTGGTAACCCCAAGAGGGGTTCTCACAGGAGGCCTTTATGGGAGGAGCTGTGGTTCCCAGACCTGGGGATGCAGTACCACTCCTAAATTCTGGCACCTTGGCTTTGAGACTCCAGGCATTCACATCACCTGAGCAAACTGAGTTTAGGAAGCAGATTTCTGGGCTTTCTAAAGACCTTGGAGACCCTGATTCCCTCGCTCTGGCAGGAGGCACAGGAATCTATCTTAACAGACAACCCAGAGAATTCCAAAGCAAGGAGTCCACACTTTTGGGCAAAACACTGGCAGCAAATTAAGTAATGGGTCCCACCTCACACTCCATAGGAGAGCAAATAAGGACAGCTGGAGTCTGCTTCTGGGCCTTAAGTGGCCTGTGCCCTAAGAGCTCTCCCAGAAGGGCCCTGCTGGGAGTGGGTGGGTCATGTGAGATGGGGGGTCAAGTTGAAGCACTGGAGGAAAGTGCTTGACTCTGGGGTCTCAGTTCTCAATGCTCTCCGTTGATCGCAAAACCAATTCTTCAGATTTGGGGAAAGTGGATACAAAGATACTTTAAAACTTAGGCATTTGAAATCCTTCACATCTAGAAATGAAGTCTCCAGGAGGAGCAGGAAACCGTCTCCTGGCCTTTGCCGCTCTCTCCCTCCATCTCCCCCACTCCTTCCCACACCAGGCACCGACAGCACCTCCTCTCAAGGAGGGCTCAGCCCCCAACTCTACTGTCCATGTCACCTGCTCCCTGGGGTCCTGGCCCTCACCCTCCCCGGCAGGGCACTGGGAAACTCTGTGCATGGCCTTAGAGCCCCTGCTGGGCTCAAGGAGTCCAAGTCAAAAGAAGAGGTAAAAAAAAGAGATAAATTACCCCTCTCCCCCAGGAGCCAAAAGCAAGGTGTGCACCTGGACACGAAATGCAGCATGAGCAGAGCCCGTGCAGTGAGAATGCACAGGAGGAAACCCCTCTTAAATGGGGCTTCAGGCTCTCTCTCCCCCAAATTATCCAAAGTACAGCCAGTTATCAAGGTGCTCATGGACCCAGGGCGGCCCTGGCACAAAGGCACTGAGAGGCAGGGCTCGGAGAGCTCTGGGCCCCTCACCTGCTTCTTGAGGTTCTCAATCTGACTCTGCAGTCTCTGAATGTCCTGCTGCAGCTGAGAGATCTGGATTTTGGTGTCCTTCATGCTGTCCCCATGCAGCTGGGCAGACGCCTGAAGTTCCTGGTACTGAGTGGGGGCAGAGGTGACACCATTAGATGAGAAGCCCCTCACCCATGGGGGGACCCATGTCCCACATTCTTTGCCTCCTCACATCCTCATTTGGAATGTGGGTTAAATGCTGAGACCAGGACATGGTGGAATGGGCTTGCAGATGTTCGAACTCATCGCCCACGGTTTTCCTGCATGGCCTCCCTCCTGGAGAAGGGGAATAGTCGTGTCCACCCAGCCCTGGATCTTCAGGGAGGTTATCAGAACTGCCCAATGGGACCGAGATGGATAACCACCCTGAGGTGTAAGCATGAAGACCCAGTCTTTCCAGCATGGTGCTGCCCCCGAGCCCTGGTACCTTGGTCTGGTACAACGTCTCGGCCTCAGCTTTGCTGGTCTGAGCGATCTCCTCGTACCGGGCACGGACCTCGGCGATGATTTCACTAAAGTCCAGGCAGCGGTTGTTGTCCATGGACAGCACCACGGACAAGTCGCTGGCCTGGGTCTGGAGCTGACCCAGCTCCTGCGGGGAAGACTGACTCAGCGCCCACCATCCTGCAGCTCCCGTTCCCCTTGGAGCCCCAGGGCAGGGGCGGGAGGCCTGGCTCTCTGTCTGCACCCCATCTGGGGGTGCAGCCCTCTTTCATGCTGGGTGACACTGAATGCTCCCTGCTTCTGTGGAGCTGTGTCCTCATCGGAAATGAAGGCTGCAGGAGGTGGTCTCCAACAACTCTTGCAGCTTGGAATGTAAAGGAAAAGGTCCTGCAAGGCCCAGAATTACCTGGTCCTCATCACTCCTCTGACCTCTTGTCACCCTGCGCTCTCTCAGGCTCCTGCAGCCCCACAGCCTCCTTGCAGTTCCTCAGATACCAGCACACGGGGCGATGGACCACTCCCTTGCCCTGGAACCCCTAATTCCCGCCTGCATGGCTAATTCCCTCACCTCTTTCAAAACTTTGCTCAAATTTCATCTTCTAAATAAGGCCACACTAACCATCCTATCTGAAATTGCCATCTACCCTACTAACCACATTCCTAATCCTCCTTCTTCCATTTTAATTTTCCTTTTTCATAGCATTTATCACCTTCTAACACATTCTATAATTTACTTATTTACTAAGTCTATTATTTATTGTTTATCACCCAGTAGAAAGCAAGATTTGTGACTTTCATCTGGTTATTCACTGGGGTATCCCCAGAACCTAACCATCCACATAGTAAATTCTCAGTAATGTTTGTCAAATGACTGAATGACTGGAATCTAAATCACCCTAACCAGGCTTCGCCTCCTGGCCACTCCCACAGTGGCCACAAGGAGCCTGCCCACCCTATCCCTTCCCCTCACTACCCCCTGCCCTTGGAGACACCACTTCTGCCCTTGGCACATCCTCACTTCTTCATACAGACGCCTCAAGAAGCAAATGTACTCCCTCAGAGTGTCCAGCTTGCCATCCAATTCCATCTTGCTCAGGAACACCTCGTCCACATCCTGGGGACAGGGAGACAGAAACCATGTATCTCCTTCTCCCTCTCTGCAGGCCCACTCTGGCTCGGGGATTCTGTTCAACACTGCCCAGCACCCACCCAAAGCCTTCTCCAGATACCCGCTTCTTCCTCCTCCAGCCCCACCCAGCCCTGCTCTCCCTTTTGCCTAACATTGACCCACACTGCCTTCAGGAAGTCTTCCCTGATTAATCCCAACCTGTTCTGCTTCTTCTATGCATTCCCTACCCTCTCCTGCAGTGACACCCAAAGCTTATCACATGCTCCCTCAGTTGGATCTTGTCCTGGGGTCCCTGCATCTAGGTAGATGTCCCATTTCCCTGGAGACCCCTGCAGGCAGCATGAAAGCAGATCCTTCATGACCACCTTCGCCCCTCTGCCCTCGCAGCCCAGAACCGGGCTCTGTGCACTGCAGCTGCTTAGGCCCCAAGTGCAGCAGCTGACCCCCACCCTCACCTTTTTGAGAACCACAAAGTCATTCTCGACAGTGGCCCGCTTGTGGGCCTCCTGTTCATACCTGCCAAGTAAAAACAGAGAGACATTGTCTAACGGGAGGGGATCAGAGCCAGTATCCCTCCTCCGAGCACAACCTTCCTGAAAAGGCCACACGTGCTTTAGATGCTCCAAAGCAGGACACACCGCCAGCCCGTGTCTCCACCTTTCCTATCAGGAAACCTTTGTCACATCCCGGCCATGGCCCTCTCTACTCTTTCAGCCCATGTCCCCTTGATGACATAGGGCCATACTACTTCACATTTACGAGTCACATTCAAATACTTTTCTGACCTAGCACTCAAAGTCACTGAACCCAAGCCTCCTGTTAGTCCAAGGCTCTCTCCACACCACCAGGTGACTTAGGTGGGTGACCCAGAACCACAGCCTAGCTGTGAATCATGCCACAGGCCTGGGGATGGTCCCATGAAATACATTGTCTTCCACCCTGAGACCAGAGAACCTCTGAGTCACTTCAGCTCACAGCCTGTTCAACAGGAATTTCTCAAGGAAAACCCGCTGAAGCATTGTTTAAATAAACCCCTCCCAGCACTGACCAGAAACATAGACCTGGGAGCTGGGGCCTGTTGGCTCTCCAGATCTGGGCCTTAGGGGCCGTGGGCCTCCTTACCTGCAGCAGGTGAGCCATTGTGAGAGTCAGAGGGAGTGCAGTGCAGAGGGACCAAAGGGAAGCCCAGTCAGGGGGGATGGGGGATCTCAGCTGACAGCCCAGCCCTCCTAGACCCCACTCAGGCCCCATGGGGAGGTTTGGTCTCCCTACTTGGCCTTGTACTCCTCCTCCTGGTCCTGGCAGAACTTCAGCTCGGCGTCCAGAGCCCCTCGTTGTCTCTGGAGCTCCTCCAGCTGCTTTCTGAGCTGGGCCAGGAAGTCCTCGAAGAAAGACTCCAGGCCCCGAGGGCTGTCACTCACCCCCAGCTGCTGCAGCAGCTCCCACTTGGTCTCCAGGACCTTGTTCTGCTGTTCTAGGAACCGCACCTGCAGCATAAGCAGAGGGTCCCTGAGGCCCCTGTGGATGTCCCTGGGCCTCTAGAAACTGAAGCCTCGTGGACCCTATAGTCACCCCACCTTTCCCCTGCCTCCCAACCCAGCCTGAGCACAGCCTCATGCCCTTCCACCAGCCTCTGAGCACCTCAAAACAGAAAGAATAACAGAGAAGGGTCTCCCCACTGCTGGCTGACAGCTTTCTGCTGCTGAGCCCCAACCACGGGACCACAGAGCCTCAGCATAGCCCGAGAGACTTCAGTTAGGCCGAAGGGGACCCCTTTGCTGCAGAAGCAAATTAGAAGTGATAGACCCACTCCCAAGTCCATCAAGAACAGCTCCTCCGAGGGATGGATGCACTGAGATAGGGGCTTAGCTGAGTTGACCCTCACCTTATCAATGAAGGAAGCAAACTGGTTGTTGAGGGTTCTGATCTCTTGGGTCTCCTGAGTCCTCACCACCTGGAACTGGGGGTCAATCTCAATCTTCAATGGCGACAGCAGAGCCTGGTTGACGGTCACTTCCCGGATGCCCCCTGGAGGGCACAGGGAAAGCCCAGGCCCACCACTCCCCTGCCCAAACCGCACCCCCAGCCTTCCCCCTGACCCCCAGGCCATTCCACGAGAGCTTCCTCGGCATCTCCCAAAGGAACTGAGGCTCCTGCTGCTGAAGCTACTCCTGCCTCTGCCCCTGGAGAGGGCAGAACAGGCTGAGCTCGCACTGAAGCCCCTCTGGGCCCGGCAGGGAGAAAGAGACATGGCAGGGACCCAAAGTCACAAGCTGCAGACAGACAGAGGAGAGTCAAGGTGTGTGAGTTCCTGCCCTGAGGCCCCGGCACAAGACTTTTATCCCCTCCCTTGCCTGGGCTGGGCCTTGGAGAGCAAGATGCTCTTAGCCTGACTGTGTCTGCCACTGGCTCCAGCTGACCTATTCTGACACGCCTGGAGAATAAGCGTCCAGCACATGCCGAGCCCAAGGAAGAAGGGGACCCAGGCCCTGCCCTTGGAGCTCCCAGGCTGCGGAAGAGCTGGGCACGTGTCTGAGACAAGGAAGTGGTCAGAGGCCTGGACCTCAGTGCTGAGGATGGGAAGCGATGGCCCTGAGTGATATCATTGAGGGTCACTCAAGGAAGGCTTCCTGGAGAAGATGGGGGAGAAGGGAGGGACATTCAAGGGGAAAAGAGGATGGAGGGGGTTCAGACAGAGCACCTGAGTGCCTGGGACATGCTAGACAGAGGAGAGAGAGGCTTCTCAAGGAAAAATCTACCAACAAGAGTTGGTGAAGGAAGGCACTTCATAGCACTGAGAAGCCAGGAGGATAATAGAGGTGTTACTGTCAGTGTTGGCTAAAAGATAGTCCAGGATTTGGTAATGAAACAGAAAAACAGGGTGTCCAAGTCCCTCCTCTTGCCCAACCCAGCGATCACCCATGAGGCACCACCCCACTCAACCCCGGCACCTCCATCCAGGATCCTGGCCAGCGGAGCACTTCTGGGCCCAGCCTCGTCCCTTCCACAAACACCCACTGCCAGGCCCACCCACCTGAGTCAAGCACTGCGCTGTCGGTCAGGTTACAAACCAGAGACACCTGGGCTATGGAATAAAATGTGCCTTTAGAAACATACTCCCTTGGGGGCCGGAGCTGAACCAGGAGCTTTGGGATCCCCCACAGGATAGACACTGTCCCTGCCCCGAGGGTCTGCTGAGTGGAGGAGCCCGGGTGCATCCAGCCCTGAGTGAGCCTCTCCCAGTGCAGAACCCCGGGAGGAGGCATCAGCCACCTCGCTGAGGCTCCTCCTCGGCTGGCAAGCAGCATAAAGAAGCTCTGGTTTTTAGAAACTTTCAAAATTTCTTCTTTACATGACTGGAGGGTTCTTTCTTTCTGCCCCTGCCCCCTTTCCTAGAGCTGGGACACCCTGAAACTGCGACACTGGGACCTTTGATGAGGCAACTCAAAGCAAGGACAAACAGAGACTCAGCACAATAAACACTCCAAACACGAGGAAGTCAGTCCTAGCAGTGCAGACCATCCCAGAGGTGCTCCGCACCTCCCTGCTGAGAGCCCTCCTCCAAAACCAAGCCCTGGGACCACTCGGAGGAAGCAGAGAGGGCCAGGCGCTCTTCTTCAGGCCCCACAAATATGCTTGAGAAAGGTCTGTATGGACTGGACTCTACCACCCCTCCCCCCTCACATGTGGATGGGGCCAAATTCTCCTCCTTGGAACTTCCCCATATTTGTAATATTACCAAATATTAGAGCCTAAGCGAGCTTCAAGGTCCAATGCCCTCAATTTACACTTAAAGACACTAAGGTCCCGGAGGGTGTAGGGCGGGGTGCAGAAACTGTGCATCCTTGAGTAACCCGAGATATTGCACCAGATGACCTCTAAGCCTGCTTTAACCCATTGCTCTGTGGTCTGAGTGGCTGATTCAGGGCCACCCACAAGGCTGATCAGGCTGGAGCCAGGACCCCCAATGAGCCCAGACCACTGCTTCAGGGAGCAGCCCACTAAACCTTTGACCAGTGCTCCGCCATGTCTGTCTTGTCCACCACTCTATCCAGCTCAGGGTCCGGCACACACTGGATGCCAACAAGCACTTGTTTTAAGGAATTCTCATTCGTGGCAAGGCCTTTCTTGAATCCTCAGGTTCTCAAATGCCGCTGTGACATACATACGTTTTCCTCTAGTAGAAAAAAATCATGCAGCGATGGAGAGAATGACAAAATCGTTTGGAGATTTGAATGCTCAGCCGCTGTCAGACTAAGTGATGTGTTCCTGCACACCGAAGTCCACTAAGGGATCCCAATTCATGCAGCAGCAAGGGTGCTCCTGGCTCAAACCCTGGGCTTGACACTGCACCTGGCAATGCGAAGGCTCTATGGGTTCTATCTATTCGGTTATATTTCCGCTCCGGGTCAGCCATTCGCACTCACACCTCATGCTCTGCAGCCCCTGGCCACCTGGTCCCGCCTTCGAGAAAGCCCCTAACCAGGCCAGCTCCTCGTAGCTCCCCAGAGCCCCCTTCTCTCGCTGCACGCCCCTAAGTTCCCCCTGACCACAGCTACAACTGCCCAGCCTCTTTCTCTCTGATTGCTCTCAAGCCTGTTCTGCTTGTGCAGTGAATTTTTTGACCCCAAAGCCATTTATGCACATTTATTTATTTATTTATTTATTTGGTCAACAAAATATGGTTGAGCATCTGCTATGTGCCTGGGCTTGTGCTGAGAGTTAGGAATTTAGCAGAGAGCAAGGACCACCCCCAGCACCAAGAAAGCTTAGAGTCTAATAGAGAAACAGACAGTGCAAAAGTAATTAGACAAGTATTTAATTGCAATTACGATAAGGAAAAAATATATAGGGCATGAAAGAGGCCTAAACTAGTTTGTCCCCTAACTTATTCTCAAACATGCCAGGAACACTCCTTCCTCAGGGCCTTTGCACTGGTTGTCCACTCTTCCAGGAATGCTCCTCCCTGGTTACCTGCACGGCTAAAAGTCACCATCCCCAGCTGCCCCACACCAAAATTGCAGCACTGAGGCCATCCCTCTTCACACACTTCTTATCCCCTTCCCTGCTTGCTTGCTTGCTTGCTTGCTTGCTTTCCACTGAGTACCTATCACTCCCTGACACACCACGTGTTTTAGTTGTTCCTTTCACTTGTCAGTCTCCCTGCACTAGAATGTGAGCTCCATGAGGAGGGTTTTTGTCTCTCTCCTCATTTCTGTAGCCCCTGAATTTAGATTTTCTGTCAGTTCTGGTTGTTTCTTTGTTTTTAAATTGTTGTTGTCCAACTTTTGGTTGTGCGAGGAGGCACAGTGTGTCTACCTTATGCCTCCATCTTGGCTGGAAGTCATAGCCCCTGAATTTAGAGACGTGCCTGGCAAGTAGGTGCTCAATAAATATTTCTTAAATGAATGTATTCCCATTCAATTTCATCTTGCTTTTCTCCTATCTTTCGATGTTTGGAGATCCTTGTGACTCTTAATTCTGTTCTCTAAAGCATTAATCACTCCCAACCCCCCACCCACCCACCCAAGGCTGGGAGATGCATACACTTAACGAAAATGGTCATGTCTGTGTGTGTATGTGAGTCTGCGCTGCCTGCCTTTAGCCAGCCTCCCCTCTCTGGCCACAGCCAGCCCGACAACTTCGCCTGACCTGGGCACCATGGAACCTTCCCTCAGTTTGGCCTTTGCAGCTAAGAAACACATGCCAGATTCTAACCCAGGATATTTCCAATATCCCAAACATCAGTCACCCTCATTCGACCTTCACCACCATGCCATATATCATGCCATAAGAACTATTAGGTGCTGAATATTTTTATTTAAATCGAAACTTATTCTGAGCCTCAGCAATAATATTCTTGAAATTGTGACATTCATGTGCTAATTCTAATTAATATTCAAATAAAACATAGCTATTAAAATGTAAAATGTTCTCCATGTGCCAAAGGCTTACACAGCACGCTCTAGGAAACGCAGGTCAATCCAACCCTGTCTTTGCTGCACAAAAACTGGAAGGCTCGCAGCTGCCCCCAAACCAGTGAGGGCAAGAAGAGAGAAGCCCCCTTCCAACCGGGCCCCATGTCTGTCGTCCTCATAACTATACCTCTCTTGGCCTGTAGGGGCAGCAGGGAAGAGACAAAAGAGCCCCTCATCTGTCCAGGCCGGGAGAGCAGGCGCAGGGCAGCATCCTCTGCCCTGGCTCCCTCCTGCCTGCTGGGCTGGGGGCAGACGACCCTGCCCTCCTCGCTGCACTGACAATGGGCTGTGGCGACACAGCCCAGAGAATGGGCTCATTGTACCAGGAAAGGGCTGCCCACAAGTGAGCTGAGCGGCTGCCTCCACAGCCCCCCAAACCCCTGCAATGAGACCCCAAAACTCAAAGGATGCACATACCCAAGACAGAGGCCTTGGAGAAGAGGAATTTTCAAAGTTCCACCTGGGAGTTCAGAATTTCAATGAATGTCCTCACATTCCAAGTTGAGAGCAGGAGAGAGGGACAACTCCAAACTTTGCGATATCGTCATGCCCTGCGTAAGGACAGGGATTCATTCTGAGAAATGCGTCAGTAGGCGGTTTTGTCCTGTGAACATCAGAGAGTGTGCTCACGCAAACCGTAGGGCGCAGCCTCCTGCCCACTTCAGCCGCATGGTGCAATCTGTGGCTCCTGGGCTGCAGTCCTGCACGGCATGTCGCCTTACTGAACACTGTGGACAATTGTAACACAATGTAAGTATTTGCGTGTCTACATATATCTAAACAGATAAAAGGTACCTGAAAATACGGTATAAAAAACACAAATGGCCCTGACTGGTGTAGCTCAGGTGGCTGGGAGTCGTACCTGGAGGTGGCCAGTTCAATTCCCAGTCAGGGCACACAACTGGGTTGCAGGTTGAGTCCCCGGTCAGGGCACATACAAAAGGCAATCAATCAATGTTTCACCCCCTCTCTTTCTCCCTCCCTTCCCCTCTCTCTAAAAATAAGTAAATAGGGGGGAAATGGAGGCAAGGGAGGGAGGTGGATTTGGATGGGTTGGGGAGAATGGTGGGGAGAAATTGCAGACAACTGTAATTGAACAATAATAAAGTAATTTATTTTAAAAATAATAATGAATAAATAAATAAATAAAATTTTTATAAAAAAAAAAAAAAAGATGCAGATGGCCCTGGCCAGTGCGGCTCAGTTGGTTGGAGCATTGTCTGAAAGGTTTCGGGTTCAATTCCTGGTCAGGGCACATGCCTAGGTTTCGGGTTCAGCTCCAGGTCTGGGAGCGTACAGTCCTCGGGAGGGGCGCGTACGGGAGGCACCCCATCGGTGTTTCTCTCCCTCCCTTCCTCTCTCTCTCAAACCAATGAAAAAATGTCCTCGCTGAGGATTTTTTAAAAAATACAGATGGTACACCCATGCAGGACACTCACCATGGATGGAGCCTGCCGGACTGG